GAAGAACAATATCCTGATGTATATTAAAGTATTCCTAAAAGATCCTCTAGTCAAGAAAAATACATTCCTAATATCTCTTAATTTTATTCTACTACTTGTCTAGAAAATATGATTTATATAGTAATCAACCATAAATTATAAAGTTAAAAATGAGTGTGTAATTAAACTTATATATCTGTATATGTGAAACTTATATTTTTTATTAATTTAGATATATTATTCATTTTTACATTATAAATTATTAGAATTTAATGAATAAAAATGAAAATTATTTGTTTATAATTTGATTTATTATTATATAAAATGGATTATGATAATATGGATTTTACTAATTACACTAATGAATAAATTGGGGAAATGATAAAAACATAAGGATTAGAAAATATTACTTATGAGGAATTAATAGCTAAAAAGAATAAGAGAATTAAAGAATTTTATGAATAAGATTCGAAACTGGTAAGTTATGTTTATTAAAAATAAGCAAGAAGCTATGTTAAGACATTGGTTATTAAAGAGAAAAAATAAGCATTTGATTGACTTTAATGATAAAGAACGTTCTTAATTGAAATAATACTTCAATTCTTTGGATGAGGATGGATCAAGTATAAAAATGCATTTTAAATGATTAGAATCTATTGGTATAGATGAATTAGAGGAACCATTAATTTCATTGGGTATAGCTGAATCACGTGAAGATGTTAAAAAACTTATTTATACAGTTGATGATGATGGATCTATTGAATTTAAAGAATTCTTAGAAATTATTAAAAATAAAAATGGAGATGGTAAAAGTAATTCAAAAGAGACAATGGTAATTGATTTTTTTAAAGGTATAGAATATATAATATAATTTAGATATGATTAATGGACGTTTAGGACATGGAAGTAATTAACCAATTAATAAGAATCTGCCATTTAGTTTGATCATAAGTACAATAAGGAGATAGAAATTGTTGGATGCATTGATGGCAAATGATCCAAAGAAGAAAGAAGAAGGAGAAAAAGTAATGAAAGCTTATGGAAAATTGATTTCATAAAGAAGAGCATAAAAAAATGATGGATCAATTTAAGGTTCTAAAAAGAGAATATGATTTAATTAACATATCAACCTTTTTTTGTGTTATTAATTAATTTCTATTATCATTATTATATACAAGTATGTATAATTAATTAATAATAATAAAAAAACACACTAAAAATGTCAGAAGAAATACAAAAATCGAATTCAGATTAATAATTGATAACTCATTATTTTAATCAGAATCCTGAGAATTCATAGGATAGATAAAAGATAAGTAGAAAAAGAAGGATTGATACAGAATTACCTAAGAAAAAGATTGTCCAAAAATTAAAAAGTGATGATGAATCATCTAATGATAATAATTAATAAGCATTAGTTAATCCACCTAATTGTTAAACAATCTACAAATACTTGAAACTAACTAAAGATGTAAACAATGAAGCGGGTAATTAGATTAAAGCATTATAGTAAAAGAATACAGAAGAAGGTAAGTAGAAACAATAAGGAAATGATAAAACTATATATATTAAACCAAAAGAGAGTAAAGTTATATTATAGTCAGTTTAAAAATAAAGTGAAGATGATGCAAATAAATTGTAATAAAAATTAATGGAGAAAGAATAAATAGAAAAATAATTAAGATAAGAGAAATAATAATTAGAAAATGAACGTTAGGAATTAATTTTATAACATAATATTTTTAAAAAAAGAACTTAAGAAGTATTTGCAGAAGCTTTGAAATAAGTTGAAGAATTGAAGCGGGAAAAAATGAGAGAATATTTAGAGAGGGAACGTTATAGATTGGGTGAATTTGTTAGTTCTAGAAATAATGTGAGATTTGTTGAAGAATGGTAAGATGGTTATGAAATAAAGCAAGTTAAATAAAATTTATAAAAATTAGAAAATGAAAGAAATGAATTAGAAAAATAAAAAAATGAAATTAAAGATAAATCCTTATCAAAAATATAAAAAGATAAATAAACTAAATTATTATTTGAATTAGATTAATAAAATGGAGATTTAGATAATAATCAAAGAAAACTTAGAATCTAATTCTAATTAAGTATATTAAAAAAAGAAGAAGAAGAACTTAAATTAAAACTATAAAAATTAGAAGAAGAGAAATAATAATTAGCATATAAAACAAGAAGATTCATGGAAGAATAAAGGTATAATACTATATATAATTTTTAGTTGTCGATATTATAGAGCAGAACCAAAATGGCCACTTATTGCTTCTAGATATTAAACTTTAGGTTTATTGGGTAAAGGTGGATTCTCTGAAGTCTATAAATCATTTGATTTATAAGAATTTAGAGTTTGTGCTTGTAAAATACATTATTTAAATCCATAATGGAATGAAAATGCTAAAAATAATTATATTAAACATGCATTAAGAGAGAATGACATTCATAAAAGATTGAAACATATTAATATAGTATCATTATATGATACATAAGAAATTGATTAAGATTCCTTTTGGTATTTATTATTACAACAAATAGTACTGTATTAGAATTTTGTGATGGAACAGATTTAAATTAACATTTAAAGAAATATAAGCTATTAGCTGAAAAAGAAGCAAAATTGATTATTCGTTAAGTATTGGCTGCATTACATTACATGAGTTGTAGTCCAACTAAAATTATCCATTATGATTTAAAACCTTAAAATATTTTATTTCATAAAGGTGAAGTCAAAATTACTGATTTTGGTTTATGCAAAGTTTTAGATTATGATACAACTAGATAAGAATTAACATCTTAAGGATTAGGAACTTATTGGTATTTACCTCCAGAATGTTTTTTAGAATAACCAAATATTTAAATTAGTACAAAAGTAGATGTATGGTCAGTAGGTGTTATTTTATTTGAAATGGTTTATGGTAAAAAACCTTTTGGAGATGGAATGTCTTAAGAAAGAATAGCATAAGTATAATTTTATTGAAATATTTCTTAGGAAAGAGTTATTTTAAACTCTTATTAAGTTAAATTTCCTTAAAAACCAAATATCTCTTAAGAATGCAAAGATTTTATTACTAAATGTTTAACTTATAATATGGAAGCAAGATGGAATATTTCAGAAGCATACTACTGTAATTACATTTAAAATTTAAAAACAACTAATTGAATTTTAGTATATATTTTTTTTTGCTTTATTATTAAGTGATATTAATTGATTTATATTAAATAATTGTGTTAAATCAGTGATTTAAAATAGTCTATTACCTTCAAGCTCTTTGTACTTTAAATTAATATTATTTCCATAAATTTAAAATATATGTTTTAAATTTACTCTTCCTTGAGTAAAGATTTTATTCAAAAAAGGATTTAATGGAAATTACACATATGTAAATTGTTTATATAAATTGTTTTTTGTAAGTGATTCATTTTGTACAAAAATACAAAAAAAACATAAAATTACAATTATGATATCATAAAGAACCTTAAAAGTAAATTTATTTAACTAATTTTTATTTTTCAGTGTAAAATAAATCAAAAATTGTTATTGAATTCTAAAGTGTTAAGGATTACTTTATTATACAAAATATCTCAGGTTTATGATTTCTATTGTAATTCACATCTACTAAAGTATTATTTTTGGGTTAAGAATTTGAGATCACATTTTATAGTAATATTAATATTGTGTACTAAGTTCTCATTCAAGATGGTGACAAACAGAAGATTATAACTAGATTTCATATATATATAGATATGAAGTGTGTATCAAAATAATACTATCTCATTCTTCCTCTTCAATTGGCTCCAAATTGTCATCATCTAATAAGTCTGGAGGAGCAATGATATCAAAAATTACTCCTTCTACTTCAACATTATATTAATATTGGAGACCTAATGTAATATATTTTATTTGAACTGTTGGGGTTGTAAGGCTGAATTATTCTTTCTTTTTGTTATAGTAATAACATATTAGCCCATGTTATCCTAGAAGGACCCTAAGAGTTTGTTGTCATATTGTTCACATGTTAAGAATTGTTTGTTTATATTTTTCTTGAGGAGCAAGATCCCATCGAATATGTTAATTTAATTAAAATGTTATTTTACAAAGAAAAATCCACTAGTATTTATATTAGAAAAGATAACTAAATCCTTGTTTTTTATAAAAAAATTAACAATGAATACTCACTAATTCATAGAACAAAAAATCCAAATAGGTTTAGTTTGTTTAGAACTATAATTTTTGTTTTAAGCAGTTAGTAAAAAACTAACTGGCTAATTTTTTTTATTATTTTACTCATTATTCTGATTATCATTAATACTCAAATTAATATCAAATCAAAAATAGTTAATCTAAAGGTTCAATTATTTTTTAATACAAAATCTTATCTTGATAAATGAGTGAATTCAATAAAAAAATTCAAATTGAGACTATATTTTATTTTTTTGTAATAGGGCCTAAAGCAATTTTCAAAAAAAATCATTTATTATTTACTTCTTTCTCTTGATTCATCTTCTATTAATAAAATGCCCAAAAAATAAACAAGAATTTTTATCTTAATTAATATCTTTCTCACATTCATAATCTCATCATTCTCAATATNAGGATTTAATGGAAATTACACATATGTAAATTGTTTATATAAATTGTTTTTTGTAAGTGATTCATTTTGTACAAAAATACAAAAAAAACATAAAATTACAATTATGATATCATAAAGAACCTTAAAAGTAAATTTATTTAACTAATTTTTATTTTTCAGTGTAAAATAAATCAAAAATTGTTATTGAATTCTAAAGTGTTAAGGATTACTTTATTATACAAAATATCTCAGGTTTATGATTTCTATTGTAATTCACATCTACTAAAGTATTATTTTTGGGTTAAGAATTTGAGATCACATTTTATAGTAATATTAATATTGTGTACTAAGTTCTCATTCAAGATGGTGACAAACAGAAGATTATAACTAGATTTCATATATATATAGATATGAAGTGTGTATCAAAATAATACTATCTCATTCTTCCTCTTCAATTGGCTCCAAATTGTCATCATCTAATAAGTCTGGAGGAGCAATGATATCAAAAATTACTCCTTCTACTTCAACATTATATTAATATTGGAGACCTAATGTAATATATTTTATTTGAACTGTTGGGGTTGTAAGGCTGAATTATTCTTTCTTTTTGTTATAGTAATAACATATTAGCCCATGTTATCCTAGAAGGACCCTAAGAGTTTGTTGTCATATTGTTCACATGTTAAGAATTGTTTGTTTATATTTTTCTTGAGGAGCAAGATCCCATCGAATATGTTAATTTAATTAAAATGTTATTTTACAAAGAAAAATCCACTAGTATTTATATTAGAAAAGATAACTAAATCCTTGTTTTTTATAAAAAAATTAACAATGAATACTCACTAATTCATAGAACAAAAAATCCAAATAGGTTTAGTTTGTTTAGAACTATAATTTTTGTTTTAAGCAGTTAGTAAAAAACTAACTGGCTAATTTTTTTTATTATTTTACTCATTATTCTGATTATCATTAATACTCAAATTAATATCAAATCAAAAATAGTTAATCTAAAGGTTCAATTATTTTTTAATACAAAATCTTATCTTGATAAATGAGTGAATTCAATAAAAAAATTCAAATTGAGACTATATTTTATTTTTTTGTAATAGGGCCTAAAGCAATTTTCAAAAAAAATCATTTATTATTTACTTCTTTCTCTTGATTCATCTTCTATTAATAAAATGCCCAAAAAATAAACAAGAATTTTTATCTTAATTAATATCTTTCTCACATTCATAATCTCATCATTCTCAATATATATATTTTAATAAATTTTTATATTGGTTTATATAAATTTTAATCAAATTTATTATATTATGAGAATCTTCCTCCTGATAAAATAAAAGTCACATATAATTATTATTTTATATTCAATAATTCTTTTTAATCACTTTAGGGGTTTTAGAAATCAATTAACTTTATTATTGATATTTATAAAGTATTTTAGATACTAACTGGAATTAAGTAATATTTGTAATAGATATTACTTAATAAGATGTAAAAATATGATTTTATTGTCTAATTGATTCATATTATCATATATTATGGATTATATGAATATCTATCATATGATGTATAATGTATATAATATATTTATAAAAATTGTATTTTAAAACTACAAATATTAAAAATGATTAATTATAAATTGTGATTAAAATAATTTGAATGTTTTAATTATTAATATGAAATATTTAATACTCTTGGTTTTAGCAATTTCAGTATTTGCTGATGTCAAAAATGAAGGAAAAGTAATTGAATTAACAGCTGATAATTTCAATTCTATTGTTTTGGAATCTAAACAAGATGTTTTAGTAAAATTCTTTGCTCCCTGGTGTGGTCATTGCAAGAATATGGCTGAAGCATACAAAACCTTAGCAGCTAATTTAGCAGATAATTAGAATGTTTTGATTGCTGAAATGGATTGGACTTAACATAAAACTGATGCAGTGGAAATTAAAGGATTTCCAACTTTAGTTTTCTTTAAAAAGGGCGGTGAAAAACCAGAATAAATAAAATTTTAAAAGGCTCGTACAGCAGAAGCAATGGCAGAATTCATAAGAGAAAATTCAAGTTTCCAAAGAGAAGATCTATGATATATGTATGTTATGTATGTATATTGTATGTATAATTTTTAATAATTCCTGATCTTTTTCAGTAATCATCTCCTTTGGATAAGATTTCGATGCAACTAGGCTTCAAAAACAAGGTATGTTCATATTAAGCAACATATGAACCTCTAATATCACAAAGTGGTGGCAAACTAAATAGAATAGATATATATAAAATACGCATTGATGATACCAAGATCGCACAAATTTTTAAGGGCTAAAAGATAATTAGATTGTTTATCACGTTCTAAATATCTTTTACAGAAGGCAATAGTGTCGTATTTTTGATTTATATGATTCAATAATGTTTTTGCTTTTGGATTTTTGACAATTGGTTGTTTAGCATAGAAATCTTTCATATAATGAGAACATTCTAAATCATCATAAACAACTCCTTTTCCAGTTGATGCAAATGTTTCAATGGCATAAAGTTCACCTTCCTTCATTAAAGTATTATCATTATTTTTAACATTAGGTACACTTTTTCCTCCATGTATTTTATATTAACAAATTTAATGTCCACATAAGTTTTTGATAGATTTAATTTTATAAATTTTACCATCTAATTCAATTTCATAGCTTTCCATAACTTCTTGGATAGCTGCACCAACATCACCTAATCTTACATCTATACCTGCAGTTTTGATACCAGTATTTGTAGCATCTTTTGAAGCTTCTAAAAGTTTATCATAACGAGGATTGAAAGCTACAGTAAAGGCAGAATCAATAATCCATCCATCAACTTAAGTACCAAAATCTAATTTACAAACATCATTATAATCTAAAACAGTATTGTCTCCTGGATTTGGTGTCCAATGTGCAGCACAAAAATTCAAAGAGCATCCTGTTGGAAATGCAATACCTGCTTCTAATCCATTAGCTTCAATAAGATATCTATTCATATCTTCCAATTATTCACATATATCAATTAATCTTAAAATATTTAATTAATAATTTACTTCATTCCTGGTTTTAATAATTTTTATTGTGTATATTATCTTACTTGTTTATGACATTCAGCAGCTTTACGTAAAGCTTTTAATTATTTCTCATGAATTTGATCTTTCTCTCTCATTTCATCTGAACTTATTCTTGTTGATTTCTCTCCAAAATATGGAATCTCATATGAAATTGGGAAATTTTAATCTTTAAATTATTAAGAAATTGGTATAGTTGGTGGTTATGTTTATAATTTGAATTCCTTTTCTTACCAATTATTTAAATTTCTAAGATGGGTATTGTCAACAAATGAAGAATATATTAAGGGTTAATCAATATTATAAGCAGGTCCTTTTTATTATTTGATCAATAATTATTCTTTTTCTTTCTATTCTTAGATCTCTTATAATTTCTGATTTTCTTGATTCTTAAGTATCATTTAGTTTAGAAATTCATCATCAGAATCATTATTTTGAATCTTCTAATGCAATTTTTATTTCTGTTTCTATTTCTGTAATTTCTAAGTATATGTTTTAGGTTTTGAATCTTCTACCATAAATTAAATAATGTTTTTGATATTTATATTTGATAAATCATATACGATCATCCTTAATACAACCATCCAGTTCTACAAAATGCTCCAGCTAATACCAAAGAAAGGATGGCCATCAACTTAATCAAAATATTTAATGATGGTCCTGATGTATCTTTAAGAGGATCTCCAACAGTATCACCTAAAAATATTTATTTATTTTACCTATAACAGCTGCTTTATGTTCATCTGAACCTTTCTTCTTAACTTCTCCTGCTTCATTTCTATAAAAACCAGCTTCAATGTATTTCTTAGCATTATCCCAAGCACCACCTGTGTTTGAAGCAGATATAGCCATTTGTACTCCACTTACTAATGCTCCTGGTAATAAACCAGCAACTGCTTATGGTCCAAAGAACAATCCAACTGCAGTAGGTGTCACTATGACCTAAATTCAAATAAATCAAATAAATTACAAGTAATCCAGGAGGAATCATCTCTTTTAATGATGCCTTAGTTGAAATAGCAATACAAGCTCTAAAATCAGGTTCCTCTGTTCCTGCATATATACCAGGGTGTTCATGTAATTATCTACGAACTTCTTCAACCATTTATAAAGCAGCTTTTCCAACTGATTTCATTGTAAAAGCAGAAAATGCATATGGTAACATAGCACCAATTAATAACATAGCAAATATTATAGGATCATCAATTTTAGCACCTTCTGAGAATGGGAATTCATCACCTACTTTGTAAGTCTAAATTCTTGTTAAATATCCACCATAAAGTGATAATGATACTAAGGCTGCTGATCCAATAGCAAATCCTTTACCGATAGCTGCAGTTGTATTACCAGCTGCATCTAAAGCATCAGTAGATTCTCTAACATTTGCTCCCAATTCACTCATTTCAGCAATACCACCTGCATTATCAGATATTGGTCCATATGCATCTATAGCTAATCCAATAGTCAAATTGGATAACATTCCCAAAGCAGCTAAGGCAACTCCATAAAATGAAAGCATTTTCATTGATAATAATGCAGTTACTGCAATAGCTATAATTGGAACTATTGTTGAGAGATATCCCAAAGCCAATCCATAAATAATATTTGTTGCTGCTCCTGTACCACAAGATTTGGCTACTTCTCTTACTGGATTATAAGAATGTGAAGTCATGTATTCAGTAAAATAACCAATTAACAATCCTGACCATAATCCTAATAAAGAACAAAGGAATGCATGATATGGTTTTAGATCTGATAATTAGACTGAACCATCAGCAGCAATCATAATAAAATCAGGTGGTAAAGCCCAATATGAAATACCAATAATAATTGGAGATAAAGCAAGAGTTGAAAGTAACAATTAAAATTTCAATGTAGATTCAATTTTGTTAATATGATTTACTTTTGAAATGTAAACAGCATAAGCAGATACTAATATACATATTCCAATTCCAAATGCTGAAACCATTAAAGGATACATCAATTATCCAATTTCAATTGTATTACCTGTATCAGATTAAACTCTTAATTGAGTTGATGAAACAACTAAAGCAGCACAAGTAGATTCAGCAAATGATCCAAATAAATCAGCTCCCATTCCTGCAATATCACCAACATTATCACCCACATTATCAGCAATTGTAGCTGGATTCTATAAATAGTAATTATAAATATATTACTTTGGGACTATCTTCAGGTAAATTCTTCTCTACTTTTCCTACTAAATCAGCTCCAACATCTGCAGCTTTAGTGTATATTCCACCACCTACTCTACCAAATAAGGCAAATGTTGATCCACCTAATCCATAAGCAGCAACATAATCAAACATTCTCACTAAATCTTCATAATTGTTTTCATCACTTTTTACAATAACAGCATTGTATATAATTATGATAAGTGAGAGAATTGCTAGTGATATAGAAACCAATAAGAATCCCATTACACATCCTCCTCTATAGGCCATCTTGTAATTTTTAAAATCATAATTACTTAAAACGCATTCGCTAATGATGTGATTGCTGAAAAAGCTGTTCTAAAGTTTGCTGCTGTTGCAATTGCCATACCTAAATAACCACAAAGCATTGATGTTCCTGCTCCTAAAATAAAGGCCAATGATGACCATGGTGATATGAACTAAGATTATTTTTAATATACTTACAATCAATAATACAGCCATTATTGCTAAAAATACTGAGCAATCTGTATATTCTTCTCTTAAAAATGCTTAAGCACCCTATAATAAACTTATTTTATTACATCTTATATGTGTTCTCCTATCTCTAACAAGGTCTCAATCTTTTCTTATTCAGCTCCTTATAGTAATTCAGTTAATCCTTCATGTTTATGATGTATTTCCACTTTGTGCACTGCCATCCAATTAAATATGGCCCAAACTATACCGCAAGCACAGGCTATGAATATAAATACAAGTGCTGTAGCAAATTCCATCTGATTTAAAATTAATATTAAATCTTAAAAATTTCTTCACTAAAATTCTTTGATCATCTAAACAATTGTAATATATTTATGTGTATTGTTAATATATATAAACATTAACAATAAATTATATTCAAGAGAAAATTACTACTTTCAACTCTTATTAGTCTTAATCTAATCTATTTAATTCTAACAATTAAAAATTGAATAAAAGAAAACTAAGAAATAAATCTACTTAAGCTTCCTTAAACTATTCTCTAAAAAGAATGTTTAATAACAATTTATTATCTTTGAATAAATTCATCAAAAACAGAATGTTATTTATTTCATTATTATTATCATAATATTTATCAATCAATAACTAAAAAATATTAAAAAAAATAATATTAAAAATAAATTAATATGATTATAATTAATATATAAAATAAATAAAGGTGTAAAATTTTATAACATAAAAAGACAATTCATATTTTGATTATGTATTAAAAGGTTTATTCTTAATTTATAATATAAAAATAACTGAATAAATATTCTATATGATTACATGAATAACAATGTATTCATTAAATTAATGAATTCTATAATAATAAAAAATAAACTAAGCAACTTATATGAGATCATTCGAGAATCAAAATCTTAGAATTATTTCAATCCATCATTTATTTGGATTTTATATATTGGAATGAGATTGAGTTATATTCTAAGAGTAGATCAATTCAATCATTAGGAATATTAAGTATTTAAAATTTTATTACTTTTTAGGACAAATAATTAATGCTTATAAAAAACTTAATCAATTGGTTTCATTTATTGAAACCAATCTAATCTATAGAAATGGATTCAATTAAATCTCTTATTGTAATATTAATTTCTATAGTTCATTGGCTATCTTCTTTGATCACATTATTTAATAATAATTAGATGAGATTTTTTAATTATTTTCAAAACTAATATTTCACTTATTTGCAAATATTGTATCTGTATCCATCATTTATACATATTCATTAATTATAATACTAAAATGAGAATTAAATCATCATTATAATATGCATAATACCAATTATTTTTAATTATTCCATATTTACATACATTCAAAGGAATTACTTATTACCTAGCAA